AGAGAAGTAAATTGAATACAATAGAAGAATTCGATCGAACACTACATTAGGTTATGAATCTTGAATTAAAAATTAAGGTGATCAATATATGAAATTGTTATGCCCTAATATTCATCACATATTTGAATATTCAATTATCCGTTGTTTGCAATCTTTTTATATTTTCACCGACAGAAAAGTCTGCAACAAATTCTTTCCAGCGACAGAAATAGTTAAAATCAGATTGAAAATTCAAACTTTCCAACAGAAAGATAGAGAAAGCTATCACAAGGCATGGAACAGATTCAAAGAGTTGATGCAAAAGTGTCCAAATCATGGAATCACAATAGAAAATCAAGTGCAATACTTCTATCAAGCATTGGAACCCATAAATTGAGTTAAAAGGGCAAAGGCTAAATCCATCCAAGTTTTGATAGACTTTTGGTATAGTATTCCGAACCATCTTTGGGCCTTATCCCCAAGTGTTAAAAGGGAAATGCTATACACATGATAGCATCACTGGCTCCTTGCATCTTCATCCACGATGTGCATTTATCTAAATGACTAAGGGGATCTTCTTCTTCATTATAACCAGTGAGCTGAGGCATTTTTAACTTTTCATGCAATGGTCCTATAAGTACGTCCTCTATGAAAGGGGAATGGCGGCCAGTGAAATATTCCTCCACAATACCTTTATGCTTAGTCTCTGGATCAACTATACGTTTTTTAGTAGGCTCATCTCAAGCTCATTATTTTTATAGGATCTTTTTGGACAACATTGGTTCATTAACCTTTAGGTGTTAATGTACTTTGTGTCCTCAATCTATCAGATGCAGTTCCTCCCTTTTTGGCAATTCCTTCAGTAGGTGGAATTGGACTTTTTATCTCATCAATCCTGCTTTTGGACGACTCTCTCCCGAGAAGAGTAAACTCATTCTGGTAGAGGTTGCTTACCTTTCCTTAGCTAAAGATAGCACCTCGATTGTAGTTAAGGGAGAGGTGATCGCCTGTTTTCTGTCCATCTTTCAGACAGCATTCGTTAAACGCTTTATGGCTTCCTTCATGGCAGCGAGCCAAGTGTAGTCATCCCCAGTAGATTCATTTTTCCTTTGGAAATCCCATGTTAGTTTCATGAGGGCTAGTACAAGACTGATTTTGTGATGCTGAACTGATACTCAATAGTAATTTTTGGATAGGATGTATGGTAAAAGAGATCCAAAAACTTTGTGGGATATGTGGCTATTTTTCACAAGGCCTTCCTTTTAGCGCCAAAATGTTTACGTTCAAAATTGACGAGATTAATTTTGATCAACTTAATGATAATTCTGAGCTAGGTGATTAATTGGAATAGAAAAAACTTTGTATTATCAACTTTGTTTGGAAAGTGTAAAAGTACAAAAGTTGAAAGGTTAAGATTTCATGGTCCAAGAAGGGGACCAATGGCGCCAATTTATAACCTAAATTTGGCAACTTAGCCGCTATAGTCGCGTCACCTATAATATTTTCCTTATTAGGCGTGCCATATAATTCGGCTTCGATGGTTCCTAGTGGATGAAGAGGTTGGCTGCTTACAACTCATCATGATGTTTGAGATAAATGCAATTATTCCCATCATTGCTGATCTCCGATTGGTTGGCCATGAGGTCCCTACATCAGCTCTACCAAGTATCTTTATGTGATAAGCCAAGGGAGAGGTGATGATATCACCTAGTCAAATCAGCAATGATGATGTTTCTCAATCGTAGTGGAGCTTGTCGAGCTTAAATGTGACTGGATCCAAACTATTTTTGGGGATGACATGGAATTGTATTTGTTGATTTTGTTTAGAGACTCTTGTTAGAGACTGATTTGTCATTAATCATTGATTAAAGATCTGATGCACAATTTCAAATTTTCCTTATCATATAAAGCAACTTAACTATGGGAAGCGATAAAGGAACTTTTAGTAAAATTAGGAATGGATGAGCTTAACGCTGCGAATTCACCATATTGCATTCACAACAATCGTATTTTAACGTTGAAAAGGTACAAAGTCATTATGGAAACTAAAAAGGAGTTCTAGGAGAAAACAAAATTTGTTTAGATGCCAAGGATATATCTAATCCATCGAAGAGTTATCGAGTCTTAAAGATTTAACTTCCTAGGTACTTTCATTGGTAATAAATGATGATCCTTTATAGCGTGATCTAATACTTTTCAAATGCAATATCACGACTCATAATCAATATCAAAAGGCATTTCACATCATGATGCAGGAGGGTGTTGTATAATTATGATTTCATTTGCAACATAACTTTGAGTACACATGTTTAGTCCCAAGGAAAGTTAAGGACTAAGTGCAACATCTTTAAAGTTTGAGGACTCAAGTGCAAATAAGGAAAATGAATACTTTTAGAAAAAAATAGAATTTTTATGATCATTATTGAATGATTGTAGGTATTTTAACCTTGTGGAAGGTTTTTGAAAATGTTGAGATCATTTAGGCCTGGAGGGTAAAATCGTCATTTTACAGTTTCATGAATTTTGAAGTGTGATAATGAAGTTAGTAAAAATACACACACACTAGGTCTAAGCAACGTGCAATGCACGTTGGCTTAGTTTATATTTAATAGTTTTGTTTAACAATTAATTTTGTTATTAATGAAGATGTAATTTTTTTGGTTAATTAAATAAACAAAATTAAAACCACCTAAAATCTAATTGACTTCATTGAGAACTTTGTCTAACTCAACCAACCAATTTTAAACTTAGACTAAGCTTGTCACCACAGAATTAAGCAAAGAATGAGACAACTAAACCAAGCAATTCTCAAGGACCATCCAAATCAACGGAAATATTGACAAAACGCAACGGTTTCATTAGGCATTCAATAGAATGTTCTTCTGCAATGGAAAAGTGGGTTCTAAAGGTGAAGATTCAGCGTTACAATTTTAACATTGCAGCATTGGCCTTTTGTTGCAACACAAATTTGAATCCATGGACAAAATATTAACTACTTTTATGTTCAAATTTCTCCTTAGAGACCTGTGTCTCAGCAGTGTTTGATTAAACATGAAAGACAAATAGAAAGCTACGGTGAAGATTCAATACAAAATATAATGCACATCAATAATATATAGCATACAAATGTTAAGAGATTTAAACAATTGACAGAAGACAAACCCAAGCTACAAGTAGTCAAAATGCCACTGAAGCCAACTGATAAAGCTCATTGGATAGAGATTTAAACAATCGACAGAAGACAAACCCAAGCTACAAGTAGGCAAAATGCCACAGAAGCCAACTGATAAAGCTCATTGGTCTGTAGAGGGAAAATAATGTGTCAGAGATAAAGTATATCTGAAACATAAGAAGCATGCACATACTTGTTCAAAGATATGCAACATATCATTTAAATGACTATCTTTAGCACAAGAAATTCACACCTGTGATGACAAACTAATCATTAGTTTGAGGAACCAAGGTACACAGGTCCGCGACAATATTGATAAAACAGCCAAAAAAGCGATCAACACCACCAACCTGGCTGATAGATGAATTAGAATGTTGTTTAACATGCACGAGATTTAATGCTCATAAAGGGTGAAACTGTAACTCCTTCCATTCCTGTGGGAACAAGGAAATTAAAAGAAAAATGAATAGTTGTAACTCAATGAACAAGTATGTGTATTTGTGCCACTTCGTATGCCTCATCCTTACATGACCAAATATAGAAAGCAGCTAAAATGAAAATATTGAACTCCTTTTGATAGCTTAACTCACTTTCTCAAACAACTAATCCTTTCAAAATCTCCTTTTAAAATTCAAACAAGTAAAGATTCTTGCTTTTCCCTTTCCAACACAACTAAAGAAAGAAACTAACACGACAATTTCAGGTAAAAAAGCTTCCAAGGTTTCATAGTACTTGTGAAATAGATCGATATATACAACCCATTGTAGCAATTATGAACTTTCGATTTAGTCATCGATATTGCTCCCTGCAAACACCAGAGGTTCCACCCAGGACTAGAAGCAGATCAAACAGTAACACCACAGCACAGTCCTGAAAATGGGGATTTAGAAATGAGAGTTCAAAAGTAAAGGTCTTGTTGATTGAAGCGTTCAACTGCAATTCAAAATATAGAGAAAAGTCATTTAAATAAAGGAAGATGTAAGTTTATTATTCAAAATCGAGTAATAGATGTATTTTCAGAAGAATTTAGTAATTTAAGGGCAAGATGTAAAAACCTGCAAAATGAGAATGCCTATGGTAACTTGACCGTGAAGGGCATTGGTAGAGTTCTTTTCCATCAAAAATTTATATACCAATAAGCAGGAAATTTTGAGCATTGGAGAAAACTTCGCATTAATTCTGTGGTAAAAGCACATTAAACTAATGTTAAAAACTTATTCGGTCTTGCATGAGCTGGTCATATACAAAGGGAATATTAATCAACTCATAGTAACTTTTTATCTGAATTAAGTTCGCTGCTATTATTACAGCGAGAGTTTCACGGACAACATCCAAATATAAGCAGATTCAGAGCTTATGCAAACCCATTTATCTTGCAACACAATTAAAGAAAGCCAAAGGATTTCTTTTTCACCTTGGTGGATTTGAACATGAGTTGTGCCGGATAGTTGAGAAAAGCCAGAGAGCCTTTGGTAAGTCCATTTGAACCCATGAGCACAGCAGAGAGCTTTACATAAGTCTTCCATGGGTTCACCATTTGCTTTGGAGTGAAGCCTTGCAAGTAAATCAAGAATATATACACCCATCCTTGAACGAACATGAAGTACCATCCATAGCTACAAGAAGTAAACCAACGAAAAATCCGATCAGATAAAAATTATAAAACTCATGATGTCCTGTTCCATTTTCGAAAAGACAAGATGTAACCTCACCTGAATTGGAGCATGTTGTACACATGTTCCTGAATTTTGAGCAAAATAAGTCAAAATACAGATCCACATAAGATAGAAAATGCAGTAGAATTTTGTTAGAATTGCTTTGCAAAGGAAATAATTTCTCAAAGCCCGAAATGTTAATTCTATCAGTAAAAGAAAATTAACAATTATTAGCATAAGTTTTTTTGGAAAATAGAGCAAAATGATAGCCAATAACTTATTAATTGAAAAGGAAAAAATGGGGTCCAGGTAGAATCATATCAATTTGACATAAATTTCACAAAAAATTAAAAAAAATGAAGAAGATGATGATGAGGTAAGCATCAAAATGACCAATTTTATCAATTATCAATATTAACAAAACCGTATAAGGTAAGCATAAAAATTACTAAATTGAATCAAATATTACAATTTACTACAGTTAATATACCCAATAGAAATTGAAATCTTCTCACTCAGAACTCATAGACATGCAAACAGAATTATTTTTACCAAAATGAGAAGACAAAATTCCATAGTCGCCTTCAATTATTTTTCCACCAAACCAAGTCTTTTTCCCTCCATTTGCCAATGAATCTTTTCAATTTTTGAAAATCAAACAAATGTTACGCACTAAAATACCATCAAAGAAAATCATTTTTTCTTGAATTCTCAAACTTATATACCTCACAGATGCCATTGACAGCATAACCAAAGAAGAACCCAGAAGAGAAAATGAAGAATTGTTTCCATCTGGGCCTCTCAGAGAAAGAAATCCCAAACAGAGTCCGTGCTTGCTCTTCATTCTTCATCTTCACTTCACCGCTAGTTTTGTTGTGAAAAAACTGTGTACTGGTAGGCAGAAGATAAATGGACACAAGGTGGATTAATTGCTACTTTACGGAATCAGTTAAATTTAACAGTGGAACTGGTGGCCGAAGTTCCTTTACTGGTGGTTTGTAGATTGGAACCTGTGGAGGAAGTGGCTTTACTGGTGTGGAGGAACTGATGAAGTTTCTTGTTTTCTTCACTTGCTTGCACAGTAACAGCTAAAGAGTTTGTCCCAAAAATTCTATAAATGAAGCACAAGAATTTTTGCCTATAAATAAATGGGCCAACAAACGTTTCATATGATTCTTGGACCTGTCAATTAATGGGCTGAAAGTTGGAAAGTAACCAGTTAAACCGGTCAATGAACAGTTTTTTACCTGTTTAACGAAAACAATAAAACTAACAGGTGAAAAAAGATTTTCCGTTAAAAACAAGAAATTCCGTTAGATTTTTCCGTTAAAACAAGAAATTTCGTTTCATAACCACTTTATATATAGAAGAGATATTTCTAATAATGAAAGTAAGTATTATAAATCATTTCGGATTTTTTAAGGCATATTTTGAATTTTTGGTATAGTTCGATATAGTTTGAGACAATCTCAGTGACATTGAGATTTCGGACAAGATATGAAAAACAAAGGATAAACATATAAGGAATCAAATGGTATAATTTTTCGTAATCTTTCGATCACGGAAAGATGATTAAAAGTTAATTTTACGGTATTTTTCGTTATTCGAGATTTACGTAACTAATGGACTATTTAACATAATTATTTTACTAAGATGAGGGGTTGGGTTTCAACATAAACTAAGAGTCAAAAATATGAATTTGGTTTAAAATGAAATGAATATTGAGGTTAATAGGGTATTCAATAGTAGGGAGTTGGAGACACTTCATTTATGCTTTTACATTCAATTTATAATTTTACGCTTATATTTTCCCTTTTCGCTAACTTAAGCATTGAATAGGCGATAAGAGCATACCGCGAAGCCTTTGTTTTAGGTGTTGGGGATTTTGTTCGTGATCGTTCTCAGTCCTCAAGCTTGAGAATCAATAAGTGGCAATTTTTGGTAACATCATTGTCGCTGTATGTTGGAATCGATTACGGTTAACCACAAAGAGAACACGTAGAAAAAGTCCATAAAAGATTTTTGAAGAAAATGGAGACGGCAATAGGAAAATGTGGATTGGGACGGATTACTTTTGGCTCCAAGTTGTAGATCTACGGAAGGAAGAAGGGAAAAAGTCAGATATGGGAAAGATAGAGCTGATAAAGTTAAGAAGGTCCATATTCAGCTTAGATTTCAGATCAAAGGAAAAACGATCGCGCTACTTGTATAGGAATGCATGACCATCGTTTTGACAGGATGATGTGGCTTTTTGAAAGTTACAAAAAAAAAAAAACATAACATCATTCCCCAAAATAGAATACGACTAACAATTCTACCCCCATTTCTCCCAACAATGGTAACCCTAGAAAGAAGCAGCCATTTTGCCGACCGACAGTCCTGAAATCCCCCGACCTGTGCGACCTTGTCGAAAAGGAAATGAAACTATTTACCCTTAAAGCAGAGAAAGTAGTTTGAAAAACATATCCGGTACAATTTGTTGATCGACGAACAATTTTAGCGTGTAAATTTTCGGCCACTGTGAAGTCGAATCGTAGAACGCGTCCTTTGAGAGTAAGCAAATATTGTAGTTGTTGCTCTATTTTACATGTATACGATTTTGTAAAATTAATTTCTTTGTTGCTACCCTTACATTTCATGAGAACTGTATGTGAGTCACCAATTTGAGGGTTATACTTGGATTTTAAAAATGTTGGTGACAACTATAGTGAAATCTCTGGGTTTTTAATTGGTCGACCGAAAATTAAGGTTTCTATATACTTTTGGTTTTCAAAATAAGTGTCTTATGTGTGGCATTATGTATTGCTGGGACTGAGTAAATATGTTTGAGGAAAGTTGGTTTACAAGTTGAAGTATATAGAATTTTTTATGTACTGATTTTTAAGTAAAAAATTAGGTATAATATGGAAGGTAAATCGACGCAACATAACAAAATATGACTGAATAGGATAACTGAATTGGTTTGCTGTGATGACAGTGGGATTAGTTTGGTTTGTACATATAGTTTTTTACTTTGTAATTGTGGGTTTTTCTTGTTGCAATCTTATTGTAGCTATGTATTTTTCTTTGTGTTTTTGGTTTTTGACTTGATGGCATCTAAAGTGGTGAGAATGATATGAATTTGAGCTTCATATTTGCTTGCTTGCTTCATCCATGCTAGAGTGGGAAACATTTTGACAGTTTCTTTATTGTTTTATTATATGTTAGAATGGTTGTGAAGAATTCCGGAATTTGCCATAGTTGTAGAGGCAAAGGGCACTTCTTCACTGAATGCCCGATTAAACGACAATGCCCATTATGTAAGAATGGCTTTCAGAAGTGTTTTGAGGTCGAAAAGCCGAGTGCTAATAAAGGGAGATTATTCAAATGTTGCAGTAATAAATGCGGTTATTGGGACTGGGTTGTATAAGAAGAGTCACGCGGTGAATTCAGTAACGCTAGCTCTACTTCAGTCACAATTGAGACCAAGGAAGTAGTTGAAGATATGTCCTAAAGGTTCGAATCCCAAGCTCGACTAACTGAAGAAAAGGACTTCGAAATATCCATGACTGTGACGATTCGCAGGGGCAAAGGAAGCTCAGAAGGAATTACAGAAGAAAAGGGGACGACTTGATTCGTAGTTAGTTCGTTGAACGTGCTATGTAGTAAATATTGTACGATTTTTTTTATTTTGTTCACGTCAGTGAATGATGTAGTTGTTAGCGGATTATGGATGAAAACAATGTCACTTTTATCGTTTTGTCATGCTAATGTCAGTGTGTTGTTTTTGTTTATTCCGTTTGATTTTGTGCTGGTAATTCTATCATTTTTTTTTCCTCCTTGCAAAATGAAATAATGATCAACATTAAGTTAACATGATTACATGAAAATGGTATTCTTCCTGATTTTGTGAACAAAATGTCCGAGGCACAAACGGTGAATAATGAACAACATTAAGTTAACGGGAATTACATCAAAATGGATTCATTGTTGTCAACTTGCAATACATAATGTTTAATACATGTGAATGACAAATAAATAGTTTTCCTGACTTCGTAATCTAGCACAAAAAGTCTATTTGCAAATGATACAGTGATACAAAGGAAGCTTCAAAAAAACAGGATTGCTACTTCAATTGTCAGGTCCACTGCTGCAAAAGTTTCGTTAAGCTTCTGTTAATTATATATATGTCATATAGCTCTGAGTTCACTCCCCATTCAAGAACAATCAGCAGATCACTAGTGGCCCTCTCAGCAACATCTGCCTATTTGCACAATATTCAAACCACTGCAGTCATTGAAGAAGCCAAATAATCATTTGCATATATAGACAGTTCCAAAATTTAAAAAGAACAGGGCAAAAATGAAATGCTGCCTATTTGCACATAATTCAAACCACTGCAATCATTGAAGAAGTATTTTAACCATTTGCATATATAGAGAGTTCCAAAATTTAAAAGGGGCAGGGCAAAAAATGAAGCGACAATATAATTGGAGTTATTCTTCCCAAATTCACCACTCTTCAAATTTCATTTGGTGTCCCTTGAAACATCAAAAATTACAAGCAATCCTTTATCGAGAGAAGGCATTGGAAAGTGAATGCACATGCGCCAAAAACCATAGACAAAAGCTAACAAGAATAAAACAGCACCAAATCCAGCACTTTCTTTCGAACAGCTGAAAACAAATAAATAAAAAATGAATAAAAAGAAAGAATAAGACTAATAATTACAAAAAATTTACTTCAACGAAAATCTACTTGAGAACTTGACTCCAAATACGTTGGTGTTATTATTGCAAAAAATGCACTAAAAGGCAACCTATAATATCTGAAGTAGTGAACACGTAAATGATATATATACCGAGGCAAGGCAATCTTTTTTCAGCAAAGTTGTAATTACTTAAAAATTGAATTACAAAACATGAAAAAATGTGGCCTCAAAGTCCAAAACCAATCAATGTGACATAACTAAATAAACCCAGTCCAAAATCCTCAAAATAATGCCAAAATACGTAAAAACATTAAGATTCCGACAAAACAAAATAGACTAACTTATTGCCTCAACTACATGGGATGTCCATCAAACATCAAAAATTTGTGTCGCCTCGATCCGACAAATTTGGATAGTACAACGAAAAACCATGAGCTAGAATAGACATCTAACTTCCATCGGTATATATATGAAACTATCCAAATGAATGACTTTAATATATGTAATGAATGTGAACCTAACTTGCGAATTGTGTCCGACATTTCTATTATGAATGTGAACCTAACTTGCGAATTGTGTCCGACATTTCTTGACGTCGAATTCATCAAATTCGATGATTGTAAGTGTTGAGCGTATGATAACGATGTCGGCATGTCATATTGTGGTAATGGGATTGGAGTCGGCAACGAGAACTGTGAAAATGTGACTTGTGGAGACATTGAATATTGTTGTTCTACATTTATTGGTAGAGATTCGAGTTGACCCGCATGAGTGTTACAATGCTTCATTGTCGGTCTCTTTTGTTTAGCAAAATTGGAACTTGCCTGCATGCAAAATCATATGATATGAGAATTTGTATTAACAATAATTTTCAATTTACAGTGTTCAAATGATGCCAAAAAGTACCTTCTTTGAAGTTGACTCTAATGGTCCTTTTCGTCGAAGTTTTTTTGGTGTGACTTCTTCTGGACGATGTCGGATCCATTACATTCTGGCTAGTAGTATTTTGTAAATCACTACACATAACAGCCAACTGATTACATTGATGTGAAATGCTATTACTTCCACAGATCGACTTTGTCAACGATAGCTCCTTAGATTGTATTCCAATCCATTCCATTATGGCATGAGTCCGGACTTCGTCATCTGCAGCTAGGACAG